ATGGAGTAGGATAGTAACAGGTGTTCACATTCTACTGGTATAGAATGGGAATGTGTACAGAACATGGTCCATAATCCTGATGGGGAAATATTTAGGAAACCAGTTTCATGAATACTCTCAAGAACAAGAGTTTACATCACACAAAAAGAAAGGACATTCCTCAGTGTAAATTGTTCTGATGTCTGCACACTAGTACTCCTTTGAAGGGTTAACATGCTTACACACACAGACATACAGTCATATTTCACAATATTCTCATTTTAACCACATGGGTTCACATCACAATGAATGAGAAGCAGGGAGTGAGTTTACCAAGACCAGGAACTCATAACAGGTGCTTTGCACTGTTTGAAAACAAATGGGATTGACATATCTCTATCAATATACTGGGTGATGAGATAGATGTCAAAATACAATCATAGATGACAATGGGCTTTCCATCTGTCACAGTATTAACATAAAATATACAACACTCACTCCAGTTTAAATCTAAATCCACACATGTGCTAATCTTATTCAGCAGAGTTTAGAAGTGGTGAGGGGTGAAATATAATTATTACATTTGTAAGGCCAGCTGCTGTAAAACTGAAATGTATTCCTAGTAATAGGGAAATATATATACAACAATAATAATTACAAGCATGGGCCATACATCTCTTTTCTGCTTCTTCTTCTCTGACAGTGTGAATATTAAATTCAGCCTCACTGTGTTATTCACTTTCCAAGCTCTTAAACTAGTCTCAGAATTATCTGGACTAAATCTAATTTAAAGCAAGACAGTGATTTATTAAGCTAATATCACCATGAGGTAAAATCAACTTAGAAGGGATTAGGTATAATGAATATACACTTCATTCCTTTTTAATTGTCCCACCATGCTGGAAACCGGAACTGGCCGAGATTTCACATGAGGACATAATTATCACTTAATTAATATAAGTATAATAATTGAAAATACCAATGCACGTTTCTAGTAGCAAATAAACATTAATTCAATCATCAAATCGATAATATGTTTGCATACATGTACATACTAGATCATAAACGTGGTTAGTGAGGATAAAGAAATTTATCATAGTTGTTGAGCCATGTGGGCATTAAATTCCAGAATTCAGCCTGTAAAATTAATTCAGAGGAATAAGCAGCAATACATCAAATTAAACTTATTCTTTTAACTCACCCCTGGCAGGGAATTCAAACTCAGGCAACAAGACAACAGAACTAACTGAACTGTGTCAATTTGGGGAGAACAAAATCTTGACTCCCCCAATTGAGCCTGGAAAGAAAGAATGGAAGATGGGAAGTCCTACCAAGGGGGAAGTTACTCTTTTGTTACCCCTTGCACTACTCTCCGCCTTTATTACCTTTCAACTCTTTAATTATAATTTTGCTACAGTAAAGCATTAAGAAAAAGTTAAGGAAATTTCTTAATTAATCCAGTGTTATTATGCTAATTAAAAGCAATAGGAAAATGTTTAGAACTTTGGTAATAATATTATCTAAACAAAGCACTTTTTAAAAGGAGTATGATCCTTCCAAGAACTTTTTTTAAGAAACCCTGAAGAAACGAATGATAAACTTAAAAAGTGTAAGAAAGTCCGATTGTTTTTCGAGGATAGGATTATAGAGATTATTAGAGGATTATAGTTTCTCGTGAAGAATAATAACATCATCATCATCATGTAGCAGGTCCTTTGCACAACGTCGCTCTTATCACAGTCTGCCGGAAAGAACTCGGTTTCTCGCCAGTTCTCCCGCCACGTGTACTTTCATTCTCAAGGAGTCACTTATAGCCTCTGCCCCTAATTCGTGTCGGTTGGCCCCTGCCCCTCCTTCCTGGTACCATGTCTTCTGCTATATTTTTTCCCAATCCGTCGTGGCGCTTGATATGAACAAAATATTTCAGCTTCTGAGACAGGATGCTGTTTATTAACCAATCTTTCTTGATGTTCAGATCTTTCAAGATGTCATATTATCTCAAATCTCTAGATAGTTTTGCGTGTAACGACATTATTTTTAAAGACGGTAGAAGTACTTTGTAATAATTGTATAAGCTTTGCTATAAGATGTAAGGGAGATTGTAGGATTGCAAACAGATTGGCATTTATTTTCCAGGCTTATAATTAAGCGAGAACACTGTTAACATAGATTCAGCAGGAGGTCAGCAATATTGTTTTGATTTAGAGAAAATCAATTTTTTTTCTACCTCCTGTGATTAACAGTGATCAATCGTTATTAACTGTGATTCAGACATAAAGGAGCGAGAAGAAGATTATCCACTGTACCGTGCTCTTTATGAAGTGGGACGAGTGGTGAGTAGGTTAGACCTGTCGATAAGACAACAGAGCATAAGTTCGGACATTGAACAATTTGATTAAGATTGCAGGAATTTCAAAAACTGGGTTGAGTGCTGTAGAGGAATACGCCTGTCTGGTAGGTGCCACATACCTTGAGAATCGTAATGCTGCAAATGCTACTTCCAAACCACTTGTTACCAGCAATATGCAAAGAAAGAAGAAAACTCAAAGGCATCGAGCAAGAGTCCTGGAGAGATTGCAAGAATTACCTTGCTAGAGATGTAGAGATCGCCGATGCCATTCACTGGTGACTCACTGAGATTCATGTTTGGAACAGCTAGTGATGCTGATGTCAGCGAAGATAAAGATAATACTCGAATACTTTCTAACAACCTAGGAAGAATAAGACACTACATTGAAAAGACATTACCTATAATTGATGTTATCAAACAAGAAATACAAGAAAACCGAGTTTAGATCTACTGACGCACACCAGAGTTTAATATAAAAGTTCTTGACAACCCTGCCTTCGCTCTTATTTCAGCATTTACTACGTGTGTACAGGCTTTTGAAAAATTTGAATGTGATGATTGCTGATAATCAATAGTCTTAGCATTTTTTTCGATGATCTTAGCATACATTTCCCCAGTGTAACTGAGAAGATATGTTCCTCTGTAATTAGTACAGTACTTCTTACTTCCATTATTTTTCCATAGGGGTACGATGACAGCAGTTTGCCAGAATGATAGTGTTTCTGGATGTTTTTCATGCCACCTGAAATATTCTCTGTAACCACATTGCTCCCGCTTTTCCTGCTGCTTTGATGGCCTCAGCTGGTAGATCACCGATATCTGCTGCTTTGATGGCCTCAGCTGGTAGATTATCGATACCTGTCGCCTTTAGTCTAGGGGAGGTACGAATTACATATTCTACTTTAATAATAGACCTGGATCTAGTTCCTCTGCCATTAGTTCAGAGTTGTTTTTATGTTCTTTTCTAGTTTCATTTGTTTTATTGCAGCTAAGTAATGATTCAAAGTAATTATTCCACCTTGCTAAAATTTTGTTCAGTTCTATTAATAGTTGGCCATCTTCATCATTTATAAATTCTGTTGGGTTGTATTCTGAATTCCTGTATCTCATGGCTTTGATTTTTTTGGTAGTAGTTTTTCACTGCTGTTCTTTCTTCTTTAGCTAGCTTGCTTCCAAGCTTTTCCCGTGAATCTCTTTGAACTTGTCTGATAGTTCTATTTACTTTTCTTCTAACCTGTACTTTATGTAATCCCTATCTGCTCTGCTCTTCAGCCAAATGCCATATGCTTTCTGTTTATTGCTCACAACTTCTTCTTATTTCTTGAGACCACCATGATGAGAGCTTACGCCCTATGTTACCTTTCCTTTTAGTTCCACATATTTCTTGTGCTATATGCATAGTGGTGACTCTGAAATTCACCCATTCTGTTTTTTTTTAAAACCCCAAGTGTGTTTTTTAGAAGCTGTTCATAATGTTCCAGTTATTTTTGCTGAAATACTCATCTATTTTCCTCACACTCTAGTTCTTCCCATTTTATGATGTCACTTTTATGACATTTCTTTCTTGTTTGATAACTCATCTTGACTTTTCTGTCAAGCATCACCACCCTATGATCTGTATCTAAACTCAAGTTTGATATAACTCTCGAATCTGTAACTTCTTGAAAGTTTCTTTTCTCGCCAGAATGTAATCAGTCTGACTCTAAGTATCTGGATGATTCCATTTATACCTTGTAAACACTTGTCGAGAACCAGCTCTACAATATTTACCTATTTAACGAGTTGATTGTAGAGGAGAAATACTAGTAAGGACAAAGGAAATATCAATTGTTGCGAACTGTGGAGGTCAGCAGATAAGATGATTATTAACTATTTGTACCACTGGGAATCTTCATCCAAGTAATTGGTTTACAAAATAATTTTTTTCTCGGAGCCAATAAAAATTCAAGTCTTGGTAAGGGCGGATGTTATAGAGTGGGTGCCAGTTGTCCAAATTAAAGAGTCATGTCTGCAGTTTAAAGAAAGAGCTGTGCGGACTAAATTCTCCACAGGAAGTGCGATTGAGAGACTTAGTCAGATTTAACACATAACCTCTTACTCTATTAAAAGCCACCGTGTACTGATGTTTTGCATTGAACCAGAAAACTGCGTTTGTTAATTGGATAAACACACACACACACACACACACACACACACACACACACACACACACACCAAACACATGAGTCCCGCAACACAGTGACAGCAAGGTACGGACAGTCGCGACAGAGAAGACCAGGCTGGGAATATGTTACCCTTGTTGACTGTCACCTGTTTTAGTTGACTACTGTCAAATAACACCTGAGAGGTAGACAAACATATAACAGCACTGGTAATTAACACAATTCAAGGTAATATGGGATTAGGGAAAAAAGATTCTAGAATGTTCCTGAGTTCTCTGAAGAGTTAACCAATGACATGATTCACAATTGAACACAAGAAAAATTATATTTAACGAACTGATGCCCTGAGAAAAGGGGCAGTTTCGATTCACAGACGGCTCTGGTGGTTAATAAATAGCCAGTTCGGTAAGACGGCTGTATAACGGAAGAGACTCGGGTTTCTCCTAACTACAAAGTAAGTGAATGACATGTGACTAAATACCATGAGAACAAAATATGTGAGGACATACCCTTGCTGCCACTCCAAGATCCACCTGTAACCACTCTGATGAACTTTTGTATTTGGCACACCATCCTAATTTGTTAGGCAGGTATATGCGAGCATACTTCTCATGACAACCTCTGTCCCATTCACTGGGGTACGTTGAGGATGAGCTGATTTGCCAGTCGTTAATTGCACCTGAGATCATCCCTAGTGGCCCATTCGTCTTGCACACTGTGGATAAAATCAGTAAGATGTTAGCTATAAGTAAGTTAATGTTCATATTACGAATGTTGCTAAAATATGTCAGATATACCGGTTAACACATCCAGTCTTCATCATGTGAAATCGTCGCTAGTAGAGCGGTATAGCCCATAAAAAAATGCTGCCATCTCTACACACAATTCCATCAAAGGTATCATCATTTTGGCCCCTAGACACACAAGTTACTTCAATGTGCAGGAGTCGTGAACGATACTGGCTTCCCACATTTACCCATATAAGTCTGAAGAGCCAGCTTTCAAGACGTTACTATATTATTTGTATAAGTTATAGTAAAGACACAGTATTATCAGTAAATAAATGTGCAGCGCGCATTGCCAATTCCTTATTAGGGTGATGCTTTTCAATGTAAGATGCAACAGTTTCCCATGCTTTCAGCATTTCTTTAATTCGCGAAGATTGTCGCTTTCTGTTACCTCCTCCTCCTCCCCTGACAACCTTTCCTCCAAAACTTCTTGCTGTGAAACACAATGCAACCCTATAAGCTCTTCGGTGGTCAGCTCTTGGCTGTGCTCTTCAACAAGCTCTTCGTTATCACTGTTATCCACCTACAATCCCATGATTGTGGCCAAAGACACAATCTCGTTGACTACAGGTTCCACATGTACTGTCTCGAACCCCTGAAAGTCACAAATCGACAACGCTCTCCGGCCAAAGCTTCTTTCAAGAAGAACTTAGAGTTCTCTTGGTAAACCCTTCCCCCCGCGATGTCGATCATCACGAGACAGGCAACGATATGGAAGTGATTTTTCCAAAATTCTGTGAGAGTGAAGTTGGTCCCTTCAGTCACCTGAAAACAATGCTCGAAGAGTGCTTTAGTGTAGAGCTTCTTAAAGTTAGAAATAACTTGCTGGTCCATGGGTTGGAGTAACGGAGTGGTGTTGAGAGGCAGAAACTGGATCTTGATGAACTTAAATTCTTTAGGAAGGTCATCTTGTAGGCCTAGGAGGATTCATGTACATAGATAACAATATAACACAAGTTTGAGAAAATGTGTGATCACAAACGGCACTACAATGCTACTGAAACGAGGGCTAAACACAGACTGATGTAACATGCGCACAATCCGGGACTTCCCCTCTCCTCGCCACTTATTATGCGAAACGTCGCTCGTTAAGCGAGTCATTCTTTTACAATTTTTTTTGCTCGTTTTGCGAATTACTCGTTATAAGTGGTGCTCGTTAAGCGAGGTTCCACTGTAATGTGTGTCTGTGGGTTGTAGTATGGCATCAGTTTTATAAAACTGTGTGTGTGTGTGTGTGTGTGTGTGTGTGTGTGTGGGTTGTAGTATGGTATCAGTTTTATAATACCGAGTGTGTGTGGGTTGTAGTATGGTATCAGTTTTATAATACCGAGTGTCTGTGGGTTGTAGTATGGTATCAGTTTTATAATACCGAGTGTGTGTGGGTTGTAGTATGGTATCAGTTTTATAATACCGATTATCTGTGGGTTGTAGTATGGTATCAGTTTTATAATACCGAGTGTCTGTGGGTTGTAGTATGGTATCAGTTTTATAATACCGAGTGTGTGTGGGTTGTAGTATGGTATCAGTTTTATAATACCGAGTGTGTGTGGGTTGTAGTATGGTATCAGTTTTATAATACCGAGTGTGTGGGTTGTAATATGGTATCAGTTTTATAATACCGAGTGTGTGTGGGTTGTAGTATGGTATCAGTTTTAGAATACCGAGTCTGTGGGTTGTAGTATGGTATCAGTTTTATAATACCGAGTGTGTGTGGGTTGTAGTATGGTATCAGTTTTATAATACCGAGTGTGTGTGGGTTGTAGTATGGTATCAGTTTTATAATACCGAGTGTGTGGGTTGTAGTATGGTATCAGTTTTATAATACCGAGTGAGTGTGGGTTGTAGTATTTCATCAGTTTGATTATACTGAGTGGTTATAACAAATCATCTAATAGTAAATACTGTCTTACGAAATTGAAATGTACTGTACTGAATCATAGTGTGGTGAAATAGTAAGAGTCTTTTTTACAATTGTGATTTAGGGAACAACAATGAAGCAATGTTAGAAGAGTGATGATTAAATGAGATTGCTGTTGCAGACTTCAGAGCCTGGGAGCCGCGTTGGCACAGTCGATAGGAGGCTCGCTTTCAAATCCAGCTGCGACTCACTACAGACACGGTCTGTGTTCGAAACCGGGCGGTTCCCGGGGTTCACCCAGCCTCTAGGAAATAAGAACCAGAATTGACACTCTAGGGTGAACAGAGGAAAGTCGCTTTAGCTACGGAGTAACTTGTGGACGGCGACACAGGCAGAGAGTTTCTTATCAGTTGATCGTCCTGGTGGCAGAGCACTTATGGTTTATAACCGTGTGCAATGATGCTGGTTCACATCTCCCGACTTTATCGGAGCATTACCGGGGAATCAACCAGAATCATTGTACAGGTGTGCTCGAAGACCACATGGTGTGATTAGTTTTCTTTAAACAGATCAAAATGCATTTCTATCTATATATATAACAATCAATGTTTGTGTGTTTGTTTGTCCCCTATAGACTCGGAAACTACTGAACCGATTTAGCTGAAATTTTCAGGATATGTTTGTTTTGATACCGGATGTTGAACCATCATGGTTTGAAATTCAACCTGTCACTGTTAGAGATAGGTGACCACAATTTAAGCCATAATATTCGAAACTAATATTATAATTTCAGTGATTTCTAATTATAGCCACGTAAATTGCGATCGATTTACCGTACATGCGCAGTAGTGCCGCTCTATCGTCAACATCCGCCCCCAAAATTACAAGGAAAACGGCTATCGACTTTTTTAGTTGTGTTATCTAGAAATATCTAAAAAGGTAGGAGCATTTATTTAAGTAACATTAGTCAGTATGTACATGTTTTTTGTTTACTTCAAAGAAATGTGGACCACTTCTTAAATCCCGCAATGATAAATGTATACACATTATCATTAACTATTATCGTCTTTCTCATACCCATGAGTACAAGTAGTACAAGTTACAAGTAGTACAACTACAACATTTTTGGTTGGCTTTCTTCTGTTATAAATTCAAAAGAATTATATAAATTTACACGACATTCCGTCTCAGGTCAGTGTTAGAATCTAAAAATATCTAAACAGGTGAGCGCATTTATTTAAGTAACATTAGTCAGTATGTACATGTTTTTTTGTTTACTTTAAATAACAAGTGTGGACCACTTCTTAAATCCCACAATGATAAATGTATACACAATATCATTATCATCTTTCTCATACTCATTAGTACAAGTAGTACAACATTTTTGGTTGGCTTTCTTCTGTTATTCAAAAGAATTATATATATTTACACGACATTCCGTCTCAGGTCAGTGTTAGAATCTAAAAATAAAACATCAGTCATTATGCATTATGTACATGTTTTTGTTAACTTCAAACAAATGAGGACCACTTCTTAAATCAAGCAATGATAAATGTATACACATTGGTCCATCAGTCATAATGTACATTTTTTAAACTTCAAATACATGTGTGGACCACTCCTTAAATCTCACAATAATAAATGTGTGCACATTATCTGTTGGCTTTTTCACATTGTCTTACATACAGTCTTTTCTTAATATTCACTGCCCAGTTTCTATGCATTTCCTCTTGAGTCAAAATAGATTGTTATCTCATGCTCATATTTTCATTTAATTCAGCGATACTTCAAGTCACATTTCATTCAGTGCGTGAGGACGAACAAGCTACTGATGATCAGCGCTCACAAAATTTGTAGTTATGCCTCCCAAACGACAAGTGATTGGCCCATCTACACCTAAAAAACGCAAGAGGAGGGCATTAATTGCTTTAGAAACAGACGAGCAACGTGAGGTAAGACTGGAAACCATTCGAGTGCGCACTGCTGAAGCCCGTTCATCTCAATCAGACCAGCAACGGAAAGCAAGACTAGAAAACGTTTGAGTGCGCACTGCTGAAGCCAGATCGTCTCAGTCAGACGAGCAGCGAGAAGCAAGATTGGAAACCAATATAGTACGCACTGCTCAAGTCCGTTTATCAGAAACAGTCGAGCAACGGAAAGCAAGACTGGAAACCGTTCGGTTTTGCACTACTTTATCCAGGCGAACACTGCATGTTGAATTTAATCTTGGTGCATTCCATTACAACAGCGATTATGATTACAGTCTTCATCCGCAGGTGCTTATTGGCAAAATGGATAAAGTGTGCATACATTGCAGTGCCTTCAAATTTAAGAATGACATGCCGGGTATGTGCTGCGCTGGTGGTAAAGTTAAATTGCCAGTATTACATTCACCAACCGAACCATTATCATCATTGGTAGCAGGTGACACAGGCCAGTCGACACATTTCTTGGCAAACATAAGTACATTTGCAAATATGTCAACAAAGGAGGCGATATGGCAGTCTTTTGATTGGGACATGCAGCTGCATCTATCGATGAAATCAAGCAATATCAGCTGGGGCGCTACATTAGTAGCAATGAAGCGGTATGGCACATTTTGTCATTTCCAATTTATGAACGACATCCAGCAGTTGTTCATTTGGCAGTACACCTTGACAATGGATAGCGCGTGTCTTACCTAAGTTACGATACCTCGGCTTTTCTATTTTTTAAGATTTACTTTGTTATTTACAAGTACAATTGTAGCTTTACTTCCGTCTCTTTTAAAAATACAAACAGCTTTAGCATGTGATAACCAAGTAACAATTTTTGTTACTGTGCTAATAACACCATTTAAACGACCACTAATACAAAGACACAATTATAAGGTGCGTGTTCTAAAGTTGGAAAACCAGACTATCTCTATATCTGTGCAGAGAATGATTGCGACATTAACTATATTAGACACGTGCGATTTCCATTGTCTTTCTTTTCCAAAAACCTTTGATGAGGGAGAGAGTAGTAGGTGGATTTAGTTGTGGTGGTGAGGGGGGGGGGGAGGGCGGGGATAAGAGACTATCTCTATAT